AGCCATTTGTCTGAAATGGTACAGGGTTTCCTGCCTAGGCAGGGGGTTGGACAAGAAGACCTCCAAGGTCTCTTCCAACTCTGCTATTGTATTGTATTGTATTGAAATCTTGGTTAATCATACATTGGAATATATTCATTTCTCAACATCAGATCATGTGTGCATGTACTTCTATTCTGCAGGAATTCATTAGTTTAATATGAAAAGTTGTGTTAGCATTTCAACACAGACTATTTCAACACTAAGCAACTGCCCTTCTGGGAGGTGCATGGGGAGAAAGCAAGAACAACAACTTCCCCATCAATATAGTGTTTAAGGATACCACAATAATGTAACTATTTTTGACACTTATCATTTCGAATTCTAATTCTGATTTACCATTAAGAAATAAAAACCCATAATGGTTGGATGCATGAAATTGTATGTTCAAGTTTTAATAAACATGTCTTCTAAAACATGTTGGTTTTTAAACAAACATTTTTAAACAACTGAGTATGTGTGTGTGGAAACTTATTATCTGCAGATCAGAAACACAAGGACATTTATTCTTCCTCAGAGCAGAACACCAACTGTAAAGACTGAGAGGTATTGTTTTGCCAGGACAAATACATTTAGAAAATGCTGCTTGTGATCTTCCCAAGCAACAACCCAATCCCAACACACTGTGACACAATAAATATGCTTTAAAATCTGTCCTGCCCAATCTGCCTTGACCTAATTCAGACCAGCTTTCCCCTCCTCAGACTATTCTCCAGCATCAAGATTTTAAGACAGAATAAAATAGTAATGACGAGGAATCACCTCCAGTTATTTTTGCCTTTGTCTAGTGAGTCAGGAAGCTTTAAATTGCGATATAATTTATCACACCTTTCCTTTAGAAACTCCTTACTCCAATTTTTGTCCACATCAAATGTTGTCGATTATGATTGGGTGGGAGGAGTAATGGAGCCAAAGTCGTTCCCTGAACTTTCCAAGGCTAAAGGACCCATTTGAACCTGTTTCTCTCCAGAGCCAATTCAGAATCCAAATTGTCATCTACAACATCTCAAGGCAAAACCTCCACGGACACAACTACATTGTTTACTTGGCAACACCAGGGGAGTATCTCGCTAGGGTCTTCAATTCCTTCAATTAGCATTGTGGGGTTTTCTGATGGGCTTTTCCCTCAGGTATCAAGAGTAAAACTTGCTTAGTATTTTTCTTTTTTGCTTTTTTGGGGGGGGCGCGGGGGCAAGACAGCTTAAGGCGACAGATATGTTAACCCTGAGGGAAGACTGACTGTTGGACTGGTAGGAGAGCCGTCTTCGCCTAGGTCATTCTGTTTCCGAAATTAATAAATACATTAATAAATATCTTTTTTTTAATCTGCCCTTTTCGTAGTTGCCCAATTTAGCCTTGCGAAAGGCTTAGCGACAAACTGCGGCCGGCCTTCTGGGGGTTTTACCGAAGAGATACGAGGATCCAAAGCGAACTAGAAACCAGTTCTAGACATGGTCCGGAACGAAGCGGGAGCCCCCCCCCCCCGAGGGAATCCGCGGAGCGGGGCTGGGAAAGTGCCGGCGGTTACCGCCACCGCGGTTGCTACTCACTTGAGGAAGCCGACGTGCTCCTCTCCGTCCACCAGCACTCGGGCGCCCGCAATCCAGTCTTGGGGCTTCACTCCCGGCACCACCGCGCGACCTTCGATCTTAAACCGCTCCCCGGCGCCCAGAGCATCCCCGCCACCGCCGCCGGGCGTTTCTGAAGCCCACGAACATGAGGGGAACTGAAACGTCGCCGCCAACAAGAAGACTGTCCCAAACAGACTAAAAGGTCCGGCCGCCATGATAGTTCTTGCGCGAGATACCGGGATAACGAACTAGCGGAAGAAGGCTTTTTTTCTTCTTCCTTCCTTCCTTCCTTACCCTTACCGGCGCATGCGCCAAGCGACCGGAATGCGCCTTTCGACGGGCCGGAGCTGCGCGTGGTCACGTGATAAATAAGAGACGAGCCCGGTTCCTATCTTGAACTCTGAAACTCTGGACTTCCGGTTCCTTCTAGGATTTTTGCCCCCAAGGGGGGCGTGGAAATTAGCCTTGGGTTGCTAGTAAATTGTTGTCAGGCGAGGATATAATAATACTGTGATTTGACAAAAGTATACCCTATCCTACTCGAAGAATCAGGATAAAAATCTTCCTGAGCCACCCGAGTGGAAATGCTAGTCAGATTCATTTTTCCGCAACTGACACTGACACTGACAAGGTTTTTTTTTAAGTTTGAAACATCCCTAGTCCCTTCTAACAATATTTCTACAACATGTATTATTTTTGTACAATTTGTGCAAATGTAATATATGCATACTTGTAAAGGGTTGCAAACTATCAAAAGTTTTTCACAGGAAATCAAATTCTCAAAATGTATATGAACTGTTGATGAAGCAACTATACTTCCTCTATAGATCAACTATGTATAGAGTACAGATAGACCAGAGACCATTGCAGAGGTAATAGATATTTAACAGTTTCATTTGTAAAATCATATTTCTTAGGTTATTAACCAGGTACTGCACTTTATTGAATAGTCTGATTCACTATCTGATATATAAAAATGCTGTACTATAAAATTTTATTCTACTTTCACTAATAGAAGGACTAGGATGCAGAAATTTGACTTCTGATGAATAGTTCGGGTGGGGCCTTGTTTCTCATCTGTTGTTGCTAAAAGAATCTGAAATGTGTGTCTCTCCATATATAAAGTTTCTGTTTAAAAGATGCAATGGAAGAGGAACAAATTTTACCAGACAAGACTTTAAAATTGCAATGTCTCATAAAATTGGTATAAAAAAGTAGCAGCATGTCATTGTACAAGCTCTTGAATATTTGTACAAGCCTTTTGAATATGCACATACCATGATGTACATACAAAAGCACCAGTGCATATATTATGATGGCACCATGCTGCTTTTGTCATTTGAATGCTATTTTGAATACTTTTATCGTTACTGCAATTGTGTATCAGTTAAATAGATGGTTAGGTTGCCCTATCTCTCGGGTTGGCTACCTGCAGCTCTGGAGCCATATGTGGCTTTTAACCCTCTGCTGTGTCTCCCTCCTTTTATCCCTCTACTGTGGAGAGAAGTGGCTGCTGTTGCTGCTATTGTCGTCTCCATGGCCTGCCCGCCACTCTTGCAGCACAGTGAAATTTAGCAAGCTTCACGATGGGGGAGATTGGGTCCCCTCCTTCTGAAGCCCATTATAATGTGGAGTCACAATGTGATCTTGCCCCACTCATTCCTGGCAAGAGGAGTGGCATTGGCCGTGGGGTGTCTTGGGGCGGACAGTAGGCTCGACAGTAGGTCGCACGTCTCCCCAAGTGACTGAGGTGCGTCCAGCACCAACAAAGGCTACAAGTAGCTGCTCACTGTTTCTGCTAGTCGGGGAGAGAGAGAGGTGCGAGTGATGTTGAGTTGGCAACACCCACTCAGTCACACCGGTTGTTAAAAGTATTCGCTCCCCTTTTTTTCTGTGGGAAACTGATCCAAATGATAGTCTGGAAGGTTGCAGACCCCTGCCCTATCTGCACCAAAGCTACTAAGGGAAACATAAAACTCAATTAACCCTGAAATTATGCAATTGCATACAGAATTGCTAAGGGCAAAAAGTTCCATGCAAATGGAGAAAATTGCCTTTTTCTAACTGGTTTAAATTAAAAGGGCATCTTTTCTTTTAAGTAAAAGAAATAGGTAGATCAAATACTGGGGGAATTTTCAAGTAGACTTGTCTACTAATATTTTCATCATATGGCAGATGTGTAGGATGTTGACTCTGTCCTGGCTTCATGTACTTCACATTTATAGTTATATAAACTTTTCCAGTGCTGGACCCAAAGCTTTCAAAGCAAAAGTTTAGGTGTGTATCACAAAGTGTTACCAATCAGCACAAGAACTGCAGCATATTAAACGGTTCTCTGTGATACCCTGACACGCACCGTGCAATTTAATTGTACACAAGTTTTCATAAAATGGTTTATTTCTTGGCTTTTTAAAAGTCATCCTTTAAGCAAAATGAGTTTTTGAAGAGACTGGTACTGAATACATTTCTTTATTGTTTACCTTGAATCAAGGTAGATTAGAGAAAAATGTTAACAGACAGGTTTTCAGATGGAGAAATTAAACGTATTAGTATTTAACAGTGACATGCAGTGAGGTTTATGGCTGGTGAAGCAGTCCTCTCCCCCGACATCCTGTCTAAAGCGCTCTTTCTTTCTTTCGTCTGCCTGAGGTCTGACAGGTGGGTGAAAGAAAGCGGCAGCCTGCCAGCACAGGCCAGCAAAAGTCACTTTTTTTACCCACCTGTGTCCGCGGCAGCCGCGGACATAGGCGGGCGAAAGAAAGTGACTTTCGCCGGCCTGTGCTGGTGAGCTGCTGCTTTCTTTCGCCTGCCTGTGTCCACGGCAGCCCACCAGAAAAGTGACTTTCGCCGGCCTGTGCTGGAGGGCTGCCACGGGCACAGGACGGCGAAAGAAAGCGGCAGCCCGCCAGCAGAGGCGGGTGAAAGACCCGCCTCTGCTAGTGGGCTGCTGTGGACAGAGGCAGGCGAAAGAAAGTCTCTTTTGCCCACCTGAGCTGGCGGGCTTCCCTCCCTGCCTCTCCTACCCCCTTCCCTCTCTTCACTCATCTCAAACACACACAAACACACACACAAAGTTGCACCAGGAGGATTAAGTTTGAATTCCTCCCCCTCCCTCCGACCCACATACACGTACCTTTCTTTTCCAGCTGTTTCACAGAGGATTTAAACTCTGTTCTTGCCTGCCAAGAGGAGGGGTTCTCCTGCCTCCTGTAGAGGGCGTTTTTTAGAGGCTTTTTTAAACAGTTAAGCAGAGTCATCCACACG